TAGAATGAACAGGGAATAAAACACAGGTGTCACAGCTTGGTCTTTAGGCTGACATGCTCGTGTCACATATCCTCATACATTTTAGGAAGTAGACCTGACATATACACATTGTGTTTCAGGAGTCTGGAAAATGGTGTTAATCCAGCCCCATAGACAATAATGGTAAATTTTGGATCCTCCTAACTACACACTCATTGAGAAATCAGTAACAGAAACCAACTGGCCATACACTGAGTCTAGATACTAAACTACTGCAGCCATGTCATACATCAAAACAATTGGCTCAGTGAGGAGAAATTGTAAATTCTAGTTATTCTTTTTATTGTTCCGGACACAAAACATATGGCCCTATTGGGACAGATGCACTATTGTTTTTCACAGCATTCCCTTGTGCACTTTTAGTGCACATGGTGAAAAATGCATGTTTTTGGCCTATAGAGAATGAAAGGGGAATAAAACACAGGTGTTAAAGCTCAGTCGTCGTTCAGCTGACATGCATTTATCACATATCCTCTCATATGTTTTAGGGAGTAGACCTGGGATGTACACATTGCGTTTCGGAATTTTTGCCAGAAATATCTGGAAAATGGCATTATTCAGGCCACATAAACAATAATGGGAAATTTTGGACCCCCCTCATCAGGCAAACACAGACACAGACTATATTTACTATATATTTACTATCTCCATAGGAAATCTTCAGCACCTAACTAATCCTGCACCATTTGACTCACAGACACGGATCATACTTCAAATTACTCTGAATTCTCTGCAATTACTTTTCTCGCCATTCCCATGTATGTGTCATGTGAAATTCTCAATCCATTTTCCCCCATATACACTCACTGAAAAATAAGTAGCAGGATCTTACAAGCCATAAACTCTGTTTAATCACCAAACTACTGCAGTCATGTCATACATCAAAACACTCAGTGAGGAGAATTGCATAATGGGTATTATAGTGATACGTTAGTGCCCAAAATAAGTGGAATTACCAAATTCCTGCAACACAGACATATCAAAACACTCGGCTCAATGAGGAGAATTGCATTATGGGTATTCGGACTGCCATAAAGCCTATTACAATAAATACAATAATTACAGCTACCCATATCGGTCAAATTAGTTGACATACAAACAAACACATACACACATCTAATGACTGGCATGTACAGCTGAATGCTGGTGTTGAATTTTGCACAGCCAAGCACCACTCACATTTTTTTCAGAAATTGTAAATTCTAGTTATTCTTTTTATTCTTCAGGACACTTTTTCGGCATGTAACTAGTCACAAAACATCCCTTGAAATGTGCAGCCCCATTAAGACAGGTGTGTTACTTTTACTTTTACTTATTTCTTTTACTTATTAGTTTTCTCAGTGTTCCCATGTACACTCTCGTATGTCTTTGGGAGTAGACCTGGCATACACACATCCTGTTTCAGATTTTTTGCTGAGAATGTTCTGAAAATGGCATTATTCTGGCCACATCGCGTGGAATTTCCTATCAGGATTCGCAATACATACTAATGTAAAAGCAGTCTAGGGAAGCAAACAGGCGAACAGAGACACTGTTTAGATTTACTGTCTCCATAGGAAATATAACTAGTCCTGCACTATGGTGCGTGCGATTACTTTTCTTGCCATTCCTACATATGTGTCATGTGACATTTCCAATTAAATTTCATTGGGAAATCAGTAGCAGGACCCAATAGGCCACTGAGTGTAATCACCACACTACAGCAGCCATGTCATACATCAAAACAAAGACAATGACAATACCCTAGAGGAACCTGAGTACACCCAGGACCCATCATTTCAAATTACAGACAGATCGCACTCATTCTTCTCTTTCTGTCCATCCTCCATTCTCCATTCATTTCAATACTTGAAAGCTAGAGTGAGTGGTATCATCACTGGTTGTTGTCCTTCATGATGAAGATGACCATCTTCAGTCAGGCTTGGGGGTGGGTTCGGAGGTGACTGATGAGGCCAAGCCTTGCACAGAATGTTCTGCTGCAGTATGGACAGGACAGTAGTGTTGAAAAGTCTGGGGTGGTCCGGGTGACACCCTCTCTGGTCTTTCTCGCCAAAAGCTTCACCAGTGCTGTTTGGATTTGCTGCTGCTCATAGGCTGCTGCACCTTTGGTGATGGCATTATTCCAGGCTGGTCTGTCCTGTGCAAGTGACTCCCATGATGTGTGGTTTGATTTTGAAGTCCTTGAGTTAGGCTTTCAGCATGTCCTTGAAGCGTTTCCTCTGGCCATCATGGAGGCATGTACCAGACATCAGCTCACCATAGAGAATGTGTGTGGGGAGTCTTTCGTTGAGCTTTCTTGTAATGTGTCCAGCGCAGTGAAGCTGGGACTGTCGCAGCAGTGTGAACATGCTTGGCATGCTAGCTTGGCTAAAAACCTGTGTCTGTCTTATATTTTCACCTAGAAACTTTAATCAAGCTTTAAATGGTTATTCCCCCTTTCAAAACCTCTAAATATCTAATCATTTCAAAGTATATTTTTCAAGTTTTGAGCGTTTGGCACTAGGGACAGTAAAGAGTTCCATTAATTTCAATGAAAATCTGGCACCATTAGCTTTGGCATTCATGTGTTAATGGTTTAAACAGTCATAAATTAAACAATTCCCAATTAAGCTACACATTTTTTGCATCAGTGTCCTTACTTGAACAATGTCATTGGTTAAGCGATTTGGTGAGTTTGAGTATTTGTTTGAGGGGAAAAAACTAAGCCTGCTGTAAGAACTATGTAATAGTTAGCCAATAATAGGACACAAACTGACTGTTTGTCAGTTAAGAGTTCCAGAATGTCAAGTGCTGGTCTCTCTCTCTCTCTCTCTCTCTCTCTCTCTGACACACACACACACACAAAAGTTATCTTATGTCTATTTACTCATATGCATAAATACCACAATGCCTGCTAATTGCCATTAAACACCAAAATATTCCATGACCTCTAATTTCCCCAAAGCTCAAATATAATTTCCCCCTGACTGCTAACCGCTCCAAACTCAGAAGTCCCCTATTACTGTAAAATACACCCAAACCCCAAAATAAATATACCCCTCAATGCTTTATTCCCCAAACCCAAAAAATACCCATGTGACCTCTCAGTGCCCCACACCTAAATATAAATACCACCCTGACTGCTGTTGCTAACAGCACCAAAAAAGTGAAAAAAACTTCTTGCCTGCTAATTGCCACAAAACCAAAAAATAATATAGCAGTGACCTCTAATTGTCCTAAACCTAAACATAAACATCCTTTTTTGACTGCTAATTACCCCAAAAGCCTAAAAATACACATATTTGCACTCAACACCTCCAAAACAAAGGAGCTCATTATCAATTTTCAGAAACAGAAGAAAGAACCAGTCCCCCTGTACATTGGAGGAGAAATGGTGGAGAGGGTGACCACCTTTAAATTTCTCAGCACTCACATTACTCATGACCTCACATGAACTGCAAACACAACATCTCTGGTGAAGAAAGCACAGCAACGGCTGTACTTTCTGACGATGCCGAGGAAAACTAACCTGACCCGGCAGATTCTTGTGTCCTTCTACCACTGCTTGGTTGAAAGCATACTTTCCCATGGAATTCTGGTGTGGTATGCTGGATGCATGGTGGCTGACAAAAAAGCTCTGCAGAAAGTCATCAACTCGGCACAGAAAATCATCGGTGCACAGCTGCCATCTCTTGAGGACATCTACAGTACCAGATGCATACGACGGGCCAGAAATATAATAAAGGACACTTCACACCCTGGTAATCACCTTTTCACTCTGCTACCCTCTGGAAGACACTATCGGTCCTTAAAAAAAGGCACTCCCAGATTCTTGAACAGTTTTTATGCACATGCCATCAAAGAACTGAACTTAATTAACTAATATTTCTCAGCACACAAGATTCAGGGTTGATTGTGCAATAACAAAGGACTTCTACCTCAATATTTATTAACGTTTAATTTTTGCCTTAATCTCTGTACATTTCTGCCTTACTGCACTTTACCCTGACATTTATTCATATTTGTTGGCATTGTTTGCTGTACATGCCTAGTTTTGCACTATTTGCTGTACATTTTCTTTACTTATTGCACTGTTTTGGTATGTGTGTGCACGTGTTCACTTTTTGTACTGGGGGCCAAAACATTTTCGTTGTGTATCTGTACAATGACAATAAAGACATTTTAATTCTAATTCTAATATAAAGTGTAAAAGCCCCAAACCTGAATAAAAATACACAAACACAAATATTAAAAATATAATTTAAGAATTATGATGTGTGTGTCAACGGGGAAGATTTGCATCACAACACACTCCCAGTTTCTGCAGAACCTGCACTATCTAGTTATTTAGTGTGTTGCTTCTGTTCTCTGATTATTATTATTATTATAATTATTATTATTCCACCTTATTTTCTGCGCATATCTCCTCCTACAGCTTTTGAGATATTGACACCAAACCAACTCTAACATGTCCACTCTGATCCTGAGACGTGTGCTTGTATACAGCTTTTGGAAATATTCATCCGTTCTCCTGCTAGACTAATTTTTTATCCCTTTTTCCCCCATTCACTTGTCTTGTGTTCTGGCAAACTTTGCTTGCCATGATTGTTAGCATGAAGAATTGCATTCCCTGTATGTGCTAAAATGGCCAACCTTGGGTTAGTTTCTGGTTCGAATCTGGCTTGAAGGACAGTCAGCTTTTCTCCCTGTTTGTGCTAAAGGGACTGTTTACATGCCATCCTTACGTCCTTGGTTATAATTCAGTGTTATTAACAGTTTCTTTTACTTCTTGACCTGCCTTTGTGTTCCAGCAAAGTCTGCTTGCTGTGATCATCAGCACAAGCTTTCAACTCCCCTGAATGGTAATCAAAAAATTTGGCTCTTTGAAGGTCTGAATTGGATTCTGTCAAGTAAGACAAATGTACTTGAAATCAGCTAGCTGCCACAATCTGGAAATTTTATTCAAAGTCAAACTTTAAATACCTGTGATAGTTCAGTTGGTAAAGTAGAGGCCTGTAGATACCAAAATGGCCATCCATAGGTTGCTGGTTCAAATTTGGCTTGAAGGACAGTCTATTTTTGCTTGCTGTGATTGTCAGCAAGAAGGAACGCATTCCCTGTAAGTGATAAAATGGCCAACCTTAGGACAGTCACTGGTTTGAGTCTGGCTCAAAAGACAGTTGGCTTTTCTATTAATTCTTGACCTGTCTTCATGTTTGTCAAGAAGAAGCATTGTGTTACCTGTTTGTGCTAAAATGGCCACCAAGCAGAGCCATTTGTTGCTGGTTGCTGGTTGAAATGCTCTTAATGCTTGATCAATTTTGTGTTCTGGCAAACTTTGCTTGCCATTTATTTTCAGCACGAAGTATTGTTTTCCCTGTATGTGCTAAAACGGCCAACCTTGGGTCGGTTCCTGGTTCGAATCTAGCTCATAGACGCCTTGAAGGTGGCTCGAAGTTCAAATCCTGCGTGCAAATTACCCCAAATCCAAAAAAAGTAAATAGCCCTGTGACCTCTAATTACCCTAAATGTGCTGTAAGAATTTTGTAATAGGCAGCCAATAATAGTACACAAACTGACTGTTTGTTTTCAGTTATGAGTTACAAAATGTTAAGGTCCAGTCCCACACACACACACACACACACACACACACACACATACATACACACACACACACACACAATGCACTTGAGCAGGCCCGCACTTTGACACAGACAGGCCTTTCACCCCAGAAGTAATCTTCTGCCTATTTACTCACATGCTTAATACCACTATGCCTGTTAATTGCCCCAAAACCCAAAAAATAATATTATAATTATATCTCTAATTACCATAACCCCAATTACCCTAACCCCTGAATGCTTTTTGCCCCAAAAAGAAACATCTTTAATTTTCAGTACTTCTACTAGGAGCACAGGCAGTAGAAGTAAGCTTTCTGATTACATTAGTAACTCTGAATGGCCTTTCAGTTGCATCATGTGCAGTAAAAGACCTTGGTGTGATTATTGACACCAGACTCTTATTTAAAGCTCATGTTGATAATAATACTAGGATGTCCTTCTTTCATCTCAGAAATATTGATAAGATATGAAATATAATGTCACTACATGATGTAGAAAAACTAGTTCATGATTTTGCTACCTCTAGGTTGGATTACTGTAATGCCCTGCTGTCAGTAGGTGCATAAACAAGCTCCAGTTAGTCCAGAATGCAGCAGCCAAAGTCCTTACTAGGACCAGAAGCTATGACCACATCACCCTGATCTTATTCATACTGCATTGGCTCCCTATAAAATTTCACATTGATTATAAAACTCTACTGTTTTTCTATAAAGGACTGAATGGTCTCGCTCCAATACCTGAGCGAACTTTTGGTCTTTTACAATATACCACACCTGCTAACATCAACAGGTGCAGACTCTTTGTTGGTACCTTAAATAATGAAGGCTACGGCAGGGGCAGAGCTTTTTCTTACAAAGAGCCCAGTTATGGAACACATACTAATTAGCCTTTAGAGGTGCAAAGCTAGCTCAGTTGGTAGCGCATGGGACTCTTGATCTCAGGATTGTGGGTTTGTGCCCCATGCTGGGTGACAACCCCAGCCACCAGGGGTGCACAGGCTAGTGCACTCTCAGTGCTGGTCCCAAGCCCAGATAAATGGGGAAGGTTAGGTCAGGTAGGGCATCTTGCAAAACCAAATCAATATGTGGACAATGGAAGGTGATCTGCTGTGGTGAACAGTCTCACTGTCAGTCTAGGCTGAAAACTTTATTTATTTGTTTAGTCAAGCCTTTTGTTAATAAGCATTTCTCTCAGGTAAAGGCACAGATCTGGATGGTTAATGGGCCTAGTATGTTATGGTAGACTGGGATATTTGGATGCTGTCACACTCCACTTTCAGGCATTCACTTACATATGTTGACGGTGGAGTGGCTGGTCGATTTATGTCCCAGGGAGCCCTGTCTGTGTTGCCTTCTGGCTCTCCCTTTTAGTTATGCTGTCATAGCTAGTCTTCCCAGAGTACCTACTTGCAGTGCACATCTTCTTAAGCCACAAGAGCACACCTAATAATGTGTTCTCTCCCTCTTCCCCAACTCTTGCTACACGTTACTCCCAAGATACAAGTGATCCTGAATCCTTCTGCCCTCTGGACCTGTTTGATCCAAACTGATGCCGCACTTCTGCTTGGAGCTTTTGCCACCTGAAAACCACTCGGTGCTGCTGAGGATGGCCCCACATGAATAGCCTAAAAATCACTATGAGATTACTGTGGATGGTACTACACAGACACTCTAAAGATGTCTGTGGATGTTCTTCCTTGGATAGCCTAAAGCAGGGGCCTTCAACAGTCTTCTTATCCACAAAGGCCTGCTGTGTCTAAAGGCTTTCATTCCAACCCAGCAGGAGCCACACCTGATTGCACTTGTTTAGTCAGTTAACCTTAGTCTCCAATCATCTGTCAAGTGTGCCTCCAATTTGGCTGTAATGAAAGCCTGCAGCCACACTGGCCGTTTGCGGATAAGACTGAAGACCCCTGGCTTAAAGTCTGCTATTGATAAGAACAGTTTATACTCAATTCTCCATCATTCTCAAATTCCTGTTAACACAATTAGCAATATTTGTCTCTATAGTATACAGTTATAGAACAGAAATTATTTACAATCACACTATCTTGTGTCATCCATAAGAGGTTGGGTTCCCTTTTGAGTCTGGTTCCTCTCAAGGTTTCTGTCTCTTGTCATCTCAGGGAGTTTTTCCTTGCCACTGTTGCCTTTGGCTTGCTCACTAGGGATAAATTTAAAAAAAATGAATTTAAATTTTATATCCAGATTTCCGTAAAGCACTTGGTGTCCCAAAAGTCTCCACAGGAGATTATGTTTGCAAGCACCACGTTGGGTGTGCCTTCGTCAGTGGATGTTTGTGAACGTCCACTTCTCGGTTGGTCCGCAATACAGACTCCCAGTCTTTTTGAATTTGTTAATAAGTTTGGCAACAGTGTTGTGAGTGATGTGCTTGCCATGTTTCCTGTTCCAGCCATGAGAATGATTTCAATATGTTCTTCTTCATTTTGCTGAAAAGTGTTAATTTCCCCTTTGTATGGAGACTTTTGGGACACCTGTAGTACTATACATACAGTATTTAAAAATTGCAAACATTTCAATAGTTGGATTATGTTCATAAAATACATGAATTCAAGTTTATTCATAAAATAAAGTAAGGCAGTCCATGTATTTTTTTAATAGTTAAAGGAGTCCTTTGTTGCCAAATGTTTGACGATACTTGCTCTGCTATAACAATACTAAGGTTAGTATTCATTGTAACCACAGACCACATGGTGGCAGCAATGTGCAAATAAAATCTCAGCGAAGGCCGGTGAAATTACTGTCAATAAAACAAAATGCAATGCAAGCATATGTTTAGTATGGTTTCCACCTTGGAGTAAAGTAATTCATTGTTATGCTCTAAAGTGTTTTACTTCTTTTTGTGCCTGTCTGTACCTGGGTTGCTTGTATGATTTTTTTGTGATTATTGTATGTGAAACATCCCTGAGCTTTTATAAGGTGCTACACAAAAGAAACATTATTATGGAGGTTGGTTGTTTATTATGACCCTTAACCTGTGCTTTGAATAATAATTCTTGAAGAAGAATTCTCTGTGCCAATCATCTGAATAAAGAATTTAAATTAAATACATTAAATACATAATTATGTAGACGATTACTTAGAAACATTTATGTTTTGTGCTCATGGGTGCAAGACTTTATTTTCAGGGGTGTGAGGGTTATTTACCTATATCACCTTAGTGATATAACTAATTTGGTTGGGTGTAAGCAAGTTTTGAAGAAGAAATGAATGGACCTATGATACCGTAAGTGGAACAGTGTGGTGGGGATATTGCATCTGAAATCTGCTAGCACAGTGAGATATTCAAATCCATAACTGGACATAACTGCCTATCCTCTCAATGCAGATGCAAGGTCTTTACCTGATTTCAAGCAAAGAATCAAAAGTCATATTTCTTACAATTCAGTTTTGTTCACTATTTACAGGGAGCTTCAGAATTTCCTTGTTAATGGGAGAAATATGGAAAAATATTTTCTAACACTGAAATCTTTAATTGAAGTAAGTTTATTCTAACAAAATAAAATAAAAAAAAACCTTATCAAAGGATATACCGCAATTATCTGCAATCTCCTTCTGCCACCATAACAGCACTGAAGCTTGTCTTGTAATTCTTCATGATATTAGGAGAATACAGCACAAGGAACCTGAGACCATTCCTAAATACAAAATCTTTCCAGACCCTCCATGGTCCACCTTCTATCCTTGTGGATTCTATTCTTCAGTTGAAAGTTTTTTAATATGCGGTTAGGTCACACTGAGATGACCATATCAAAACTTTGATTCTGGGGTTACTGAACCATTTTTGTGTGGTGAACCATCATCCTCATTGTGCGTGTGGGCAAAACACACTTGCATTCTCTTCCAAGGAGGTATTTTTAAATGTGCAGTTTTTAAATATCTATTGCATAATTTATGGAGATAAATTTAAATTTTCTTGAGGAATATTTGGTCAGGTAATCATGAGGTAATTTCTGTCTTCTGTGAGGCTTCTGTCTCACCACGTCTGTATCCAAGTGAAACAGGAAGTCATGGATGACCACTTAAGAATTCCTAAACACTCAGGTAAACTTAAATAAGTAAAATATAAATGGTAATATTCTAGGTGGTGCTAAAAATTGTGACACATAGTTTTGTTTAAAAAAATATTGATTTTTGATAAGGGTTTTTAGCATACTTTTACTTCAATTAAAGGTTTAATGTCTCTCTCATTTTCAGAGGCAGATTAAGCTCATTAACCAAAGACATTTCGTAGAGATGGGAAATTAGTTGATACAAATGTTATGTCCTATTTTGCGCACACATATTAATGAACAGCCAGTGTCAGAGAAGACAGAAAACACATTTGTGTGGCAGTCTGGAAAAAGCCATCATAAGTCTCTGTGGCTGAATCCTAGCAAACAGCCCAAAAAATGCAAAATTGGATTTTTGCCTATAGCTCAACTTTAA